ATTAACACAATTTATTTTTATTACATTTTTAAACCAAAAAATCTTATGAATTATATGGAACACATAACTCGAAAGTGACCCGATAACTCGAATCGACACTCCATTTTCCTCTCTTATTTATTTATTTATTTTATAAATTAGACAGAGCATGATAAAATCAAACATAAAAATGACTAATAGCTTCGTCGACTTTCTCATCACCCTCTCTATGTCGATGATTAACTTGCCGTAAATTATTTGGAGTTTTCCACTATGTTTAATAAACAATTTCAGTTGATTCTTACATAATACCGCATTTGTAAAGAAACTACAAATTCTTTCTTTTTTTAATTGAGAATAACATAAGCCAATTAAATTGATAGGTGACTTGCATTTCTATTGATATCGCGAGTATGAGGGTGTTCCTTCAGTTTCTCATCATTTCAACATTTTTCTAGTACTAATTTTTATATCAAATTCATAAATTGCATTTTCATAAGAGTTCAACAGTAAACTTGTGGAAAAGTGTAAAATTTATACAAAAAACTTAGTTAAAAGGCATTCATAATCACATGTGAAATGGTAATAAGTGGATGGGATGCTAGTGAATTCAACATTTTGTATACATTTATCTTATCTAAAACTGAAATCAAAATCATCTTTCTGCATCATAATCGCAATTTTAATCGGTTTGCTGCACTATGTAAAAAATTGGGAAAAAAAAGTTGAAAGGTTAAATGACAGGTGTTTTACATTTCGAGTAATTTCGTGGGTGTATGGCGTTTTTTCAATCTGCCATTATTTCAACACTGATGTAACTCTAATTTATAAAAATTACATGTCTTCATAAGAATTCAACACCGAACCTGTAAAAGATTTTATAATTTTGCAGGAATTTTTTTTAAAAAGCAGGACATAATCACATGAAAAATGAGTATAAAGTAGATGGGGTGTTCGTGAATTCTTTATTTTTTTTATACATTCCACTAATTTAAAATTTAAATCAAAATCATCTTTTTCGCAGAATCATAATTTATACGTGTCTCGGGTTACTACTATTAAATTGGAAACAAAAAAAAAAAGAAATTGAAAGTTCAATAAAAGGTGACTTGCCCTCACCTTAATATCGTGGATATAAGGGGGTTTTCTTTAAATATGTCTCTACCTTAACATTTCTTTTGCACTAAAGTATATTGAATCCACAATTACAATGTTTTTGTGAAAAATCAAAATAAAACCCATGAAAATGCATTAAATTTATATATAAAATTTCTTTAATATCAGGGATAACAAAATCAAATGTTAATTAAAGATAAGTGGCTGAGAGTATTTGTGGATTTTACATTGTGCATACTTTCCCTTTATCTAAAGCTAAGCTCAAAATAATCTTTTTACAATATATAACTAGATGTTTGGCCCGGGCAGATGTCCGGGCGCTCCTCTACTTTAATTTTGTGTTAATAGATAAATGAATTCTTGATTTGGAAAAAATAAAATAGCTACAGATTTGGTTTTTTTTTTTCCCTTTTTAGCCAAAAATAAAAATAAAAATAAAAAAATCATCTACCAAAGGAGAAAAAATATTGAAAAGTACAACGATACAGAAATCATACAAAAGAATGTGGAGTAATAAAGGGGATAAGTTTATGGGCAAATTTTAATGCCATTTTAATTTGATTGATAAATGATAAATATTAGGAGTTAAAATTGTGTAGCTCTTTTTGTAAAGTAGCTTTTGTTTCTTCGGATAAGAATTTTAATTTCTTTTAAAAAAGGATGACACGTGGCAGAATGGTTAATGCAATATGGCGCATTTGGAGCCAAAAATTTTTAATAAGAAGTTGCCACATCAACATCATGTATTCTGCTTTAATAAGGTATAAAAGGGATTAGTTTAGAAGGCATTATTCTTAATTGCTGAATTTAGGTATTTTTATTTTTTGTTTATATTAAGCCTACAAAACTATACGATTGGATATTTGAATTTGAATTAATATATCCATTCGTTTGAAATGTAACTGATCCTTATTTGTAGTAAAATATGTGTTTTTTTTTAAAAAAAAATTATATAGCTTCTAATTAAAAGAGACTTACACGTGGTAAAAAGACTTCTGAAATCGAAATATAGTGTATTGGAGCCAAAACAGATGCATACATAGTTGCCACATAAGTTTCATGTCTTCTGCTTTAATAGGGTGTAGTAAAACATGTGTTTTTTTTTTTTAAAAAAAATTATATAGCTTCTAATTAAAAGAGACGTACACGTGGCAAAAAGACTTCTGAAATCTGAAATATGGTGCATTGGAGCCAAAACAGATGCATACGTAGTTGCCACATAAGATTCATGTCTTCTGCTTTAATAGGTTAAAAGGGATTGGTGTATTACTCATGTGTTGATACAATAGTTTAAAAAAAGATTTAGGGGCGCTTGGTTGGAGGGTGTGATATACTTGGAATGGGTGTGAAAGTAAATGGTGTTGCTTGGTTGGCTGGGATTCAATCCAACACAGTAATTTCACAAGGACTCATTCCAAAAAATCCATTCCCAATTAAATTGACAGGTTTGAGAGAACTTTGGCATAAATTACTCCTTTTCTTCTTTTACCCTTTGTCTTCTCTCACATTTTTCTAATTTTTCTCTCTCATCCACGGTCCACCACCCCCTGCCGTCAATCACCCACAGCCACCAACCTCCTACTCTTCTTCTTCTTTTCCTATCCTAAATCCTACTGCTCTTCTTCATCTTCCCAAAATTACATTGTTTACTACCAAATCTATTTTTTTCTTTTCTGTTCTTAGGTGTTTTTTGGATGGTAAATCCATCTTCATTAACTTTCAGAGCTTTATTTTGGATTTGATTAACCATCTTTAACTCAAATTTCAACGAACAATCGTTTTTTCACCTTGAACCACTAATTCATCTGACCCTTTAATAGCCCTATCAAATCCTAATTAGGTCAATCCTTTAATGCCGTATTCTTTTAATTCCCCTATAAATTGAATTATAATACTCTCACAAATTTTGTAAAACAAAGATTTAAGAATTTCTTGGTAAGAACCATCATCGAAGGTGGTGGATCTGATCGCCTTGAAAAGCCTTGAGCTGATGACAGTTTTCTATGTATGACTAAAAATATATTGGTGATTTTTTTGGTCGAACAACAATACTGATGTAGGGGAAGGGTTTTTTTGGTTGTAATGGTAGGAAAAAATTTATTTGAGGAATGATAAAAGTGAAATTTTACTTCCATACCCATACCCGTATTTACTTGAACCAAGCAGTTGAATTTGAGTTATGACATCCTTACCTATCATTCTAGGTAATGAATCTCAGATGCAAACCCATAGAACCCTTTGAACCAGGCACCTCCTCAAAGTTCAATTGACGGGTGTCTTGATATCGTGAGTGTAAGGGGTGTTCCTTCAATTTATGATTATTTTAACATTTTGTAGCTCAAATTTATATCGAATTTATAAATTGCATGCATTTGTATAAATTCAAAACTAAACCAATGAAAAAGTTAAAAAATTGCACAGAAAGTGTAGGTATAAGTGACGACATAATCACAGGTTAATTGATGTTAAGTTTATATATAAAATTTCATTAATATAGACGACATAATTAATCAAATGTTAATTGAAGATAAGTAACTAAAGGTGTTTATGAATTTTACGTTGCATATATTTTCCTTTTATGTAAAACTAAACCCAACGTAACCGTTTGTACAATATAATCATTATTTACTCATGTGTTGATACATTCGTATAAAAGCAAAGGAAAATAATAAGTGACAAAAAAATAGTGAAAAAAATAGTGACTGATGTGGAGTATTATGACCTTCCTATTTTTTTTTTTGTCACTTTTCCAAAGAAATTTTATTTTTTCGCCAAAATTATATTTTTATCCTTAATTGGTAATTGCATTTATTTAGTGGGGGTGGTGTTTTTATCATTTCACAAGTCACCATCCCATTTCATTAGAAATTATCACTGTTCCTATCATTGTTGAAAAAGAAAATCATATTTTGGACATTACAATAATAAAAGCTAATTTACTCATGTGTTGAGTTACTGGTACAAAATTGGGGGAAAAAATTGAGAGATCAATAAACGGATGACTTATATTGATCTTAATATCGTGGATATAAAAGGTGTTCCTTAAATTTGTCACTATTTTAGCATTACTTATAAATTGTACATTATAACATAATTATAATGTTTTTTTTTGGTTAAAACTCAACGTAAAGTTCATGAAAATTTGTTAAATTTATATATAAAATTTCATTTATAGGGACGGCAAAATCAATTATTACTTGAAAATAAGTGGTAGAGCGTGTTGTTAATTTTTCATTGTATATAATTTCCTTTTACCTAAAAACTAAACTCAAAATAACCTTTTTACACAATATAATCATTATTTAATCATGTGTTGATACATTTGTACAAAATTGTGAAAAAGATTGAAATTTCAATTAACGAGTGACTTGATATCGTGAGTGTAAGGGGTATTCCTTCAATTTGTGATTATGTTAACATTTTTGTACCTCAAATTAAAATCAAATTAATGAATTACATACCTTCGTATGAATTCAATATTAAATTAATGGAAATTTTTAAAAATTATACAGAAACTTTAGTTAAAAGTCTCAACATAATCACATGTTAATTAATGTTAACTTGGGGGTGAATGTCACCTCCCTAGAGGTCTCTCACTCAAGCGAAGCAATGACGTCAAGGTGGAGGCCAACATTGGTTCCGGCGACCCGCGACCGTGGAATGGGCCTGAAATGGGAAATTCCGCTTGATTTTTAGATTCGAAGCCGGCTAGATCTATCATCGCAGTGTCTATGGCCGTAGGAATATCATATCTTGCTTAGAATTTGTGAAGGCAAAGTCTCAATGAAAGCCTCAGGTCTCGCAGGCTGCATCTGACAATCACTATTCTGAAAGATCAGTCTGCAATCCATATCAGAAACATCAACGCCGGCTTCAGTCTGAAAGCGGTACTAGAGGAACATGCTATGAAATGTCCAAAAGCTCCATTGGTCACTACGGTTGTGTTATCCGGAGAACAAGCTGACTTGATTTCTCAAGTTCTGGATGCACTTGGTGTGTGTCTGGACTATGCTGATGAAATTAATGTAGCCGTCACTGTAGCTGAAGGTAATGCAGCAGCTAACCTTGTTGCAGCAGCTGAAGTTGCTCCTGTTGACGTTGATGAAGTTGTAGCGGGTGCAGTTGATGAAGTTGCTCCTGTTGACGTTGATGATGTTGCTCCTACTGACAATGATGAAGTTGCAGCTGGTGCCGATGATAAAGTTACAGCTTAAAGTGCAATTAATGAAGTGGACTAGCTAGTGCTTATGAAGTGGATCAGCTAGTGCTAATGAAGTGATTTTTGTTGACGATGATCAGGACAATAATATGTTATGACTGTAATTTGGTACTAGAGTGATGTAATTTGGTACTAGAGTAAGATATGATTATGGAGACTAATCTGGTACTGAATGAATAACTTCCCTAGTTTCTTCAGTTTTTTTTTTTTTTAAATGTCACCCTCCTTCTGGCGTGTGTAGAGGTTGTTGATATGCTAGTACTTTTTTGGATGTTGTAGTGTAGTTTCCCAATTCATATCATTCCAATCCCCATTATCAGCAAAGGGTGAACAAAAGATTAGAAGATTTTGGTCTTGGTTACTTACTAGATTTTTTGAGTTTAAATAATATTTGAGATTTAAATAGTTATTTTGGACTGGTTTAAGTAATATTTGGGGGTTTAAATAGTGGTTTAAGATGTATATAAGAAATTTTTGGGTTGGCGATTTGTAATGTTTGAAGTTCAATGGCAGCCAGGCTGGCTTTTAGTATGTAATGTTAAAGAAACTTTTGAAACTTCTTATTTCACACACCATGTGCCTTTTCATTAAAAAAAAAAATGGATAGGGTGCTTGAGAATTCTACATTGTGTATAAATTCTTTTTATCTAAAACTTAAATCAAAATCATCTTTACTGTATCATTATCTTATTTTACTCATTTAGTTATGCACTAATTAAAAATGGCAAAAAAAGAGAAGTTCAATTGATGCATATTTTAAGTACAACTTATCCTAGTTAAGTTCAAATTTTTCTAAACTAGATATGATTCAAAACTCAAAAGCATGTCCTAAATCTACAAACTTTCATTGCACTGTTGAAACTGAACGTATGGGACTGAACACAAATAGGATGAGAGGCGATAGATAAAATGGAATTAAGTTAATTACAAGACCGACAACATGTGTCCAAACTGAACGTACATCGCAAAAGAAATTAAGTAAAATATTCTAAGTTTCTCCCATGTCAATCTGGAGTACAAGAACAGTAGCGAATGCCTATTTTCTAGAATATACAATTCATGGCTTTAGAACAAGTAATCTGACAGAGATGGCAGCCTCTTTAAATGATTCAATAGCAAGGGAGGAAGAAAGGTCGGCCTTTCTATAAAGCTAATGAATCAATGGCTATAGGCCCCATTTTGAGAAGGCCCCCAAATTTTCAAAAATAAATATTATCATAATACCTTAAAATATTAAAATAAATAAAATCGGATACAATTTAAAATAAAACAAAAAAGTTACAAGTTTTCAATCCCAATTTAAACTCCACAAATTTCGATTTTTTTTTTCTAAATCTTCTTAATATTTTTAGTTATATCCAACAAATACATTTTCCTATTTAAAAAAAATAAAGAACTTCTCAATATTTACAATCTCAATCACTCGCAATCTATCCAACCATCAATAGAACTGCTTAATGTTTACAAATCTATCAGAATAAAGGAAGTATATAATTTTAAATCTTTCAATAAATTATTCCAAAAATACGAAAAAAAACTCCTGCTATATTCATTCAAAACTATACGTTTTAGATGTTATTATATGAAATCACAAACTTAAATAGTATTTCTATCACTTTTCTGTTAGGTTTCGTGAAAAAATTAATGGTCAACTCTTTGCACTTGAGATACACGTGAATTGATCAAACGGTATTGTGTGTTCATATAAAATTTAAATTTTTATAAATTCACAAGTATATCACATGATATAGAAGACTCGCATCAAATTTTTATGATGCACGTATAATACCCTTGGTCAATTTACGTGTATTTTACGTGAAAAAAATTGATCGTGATCACGAAACCCTATAGGAAAAGTACATGAAAATACTATTTAAGTTTGTGGTGCCATATGATAAAATCTAAAAATTTTAGTTTTGAATAAATATATCAAGTAACTTTTCTTGTACTTTCATAATAATTTATTATATATTTTTTATTTTTCTATATTTAAAAATCCCTACTTTCGTATGCACCAGGCCTCCGAAAACATTGAGCTACTCCAGCGAGGAAGCTTCCCCCTAAATCAGGGATGCTGCATCATGTAGAATCCGGAAACAACCTCAACAGGGAGGATCCAAACAACAAAAGAAGTCACTAAACAGAATATTAAGAACACTATAGTTGCTCTGGAGTCTCGCTAACTAAGAAGATTGCAGAACCTTTTCCCTTGAGAGGCTAAGATGTCAACGGAAATTTACACCCTTGATCCAATAGGCCTTAAGCGGTCATACCGCATTTTCAATAGCTCACCTCGTTGAGATGTAGGATCGAGTAATATCGTGGTGTAATTGATGTTCTTTCAATTTGTCATTCCTTTAACAATTTTCTAAGTCTGATTCATATCAATTGAATATATTACATTCATTCATAAGAACATAACTCAACACTAAACTCGCAAAAAAGTTTAAAAATTATAAGGTACGACACAATCACATGATAATTGATGATAGGGGTTGTTTGTGAATTCTAAATTTCGTATACAATCCTCTAACCTAAAACTTAAATCATTTTTTACATTACAATCATAATATACGCGTGTGTTTTGTTACTAGTATACATTAAAAATAAAAAATAAAAAATAAAAAAATTGAAAGATCAATTAAATAGTGACTTCCCCTCACCTTACTATCATGGGTGTTCCTTATTGTTAACATTTCTCTTACTCTAAATTATATTGAATCCACAGCTACAATATTTTGGGAAAACTCAACATAAAATCGATGAAAATATGTTTATAAAATTTTGTTAATAGGGATGGCAGAATCAAATGTTAATTGAAGATTAGTGGCTACGGGTGTTTTGTGAATTTTACATTGTGTATACTTTCTTTTTTCCTAAAAAAAAACTGAAAATAATCTTTTGTACAATATAATCATTATTTACTCATGTATTAATACATTAGTATAAAATTATAACAAAGATTTAAAATACAATTGAAGGGTGGCTTGATATCGCGAGATAAGGGGTGTTCCTTCAATTTTTGATTATTAAAATATTCTTGTAGATCAAATTTATATCGAAGTCATAAATCAACACAAAACACATGAAAAAGTTTTAAATTGTATGGAAAGTTTAATTAAAATCTACGATATAATCACATGTTAATTGATGTTAAGTGGATGGGGTGTTTGTGAATTATGCATTGTGTATATATTCCTATTAGCCAAAACTTAAATCAAAATCATCTTTTATACATCATTATCATAATTTTACTCATGTAGTTTGTGCACTACTTAAAAATGAAAAAAAAGAAGTTCCATTGACGGATGTTTTATGTATTGAGTAATATCGTGAATGTAAGGGTTATTTTTTCAGTCTATCACTCCTTTAACACTTCTCTAGCTCTAATTCATATCAAGTTCATATATTGCATGTCTTCAAAAGAATTCAATGCTAAACCATGAAAAAATCTAAAATTAAAAGGCACAACATAGTCACATGATAATTGATAATTAGTGGATAGGGGTGTTTGTGAATTCTACATTTTGTACACCCTTCTATATTTTTCCTCAACTTCATACTCTACCTTTTTGAATCCAACCAACATGATGATATCAGAATGGGAATCAAGTGCCAACAAACACCGTATCACTTCCATGGCTTTCAAAACATTAGCAATGTGCTTAACGTGCACATCCCGCTCATTGAATCTTCCTTCAATTAACATAATATTTTCCTCAAAACTTCCCTAAGCGTAACTGGTGCCAGGGTCTATTTCCTTTTGGCTTCCTGGATCATCCAAGGTTCTTCATGACTCTTTTCCTCATCATGAATCTTTTCATTTTTCCTATTTTGTGATTTTGCAGGTTTTGAAGGAGAGTTCACCTGCTATCAACCATATTTCTCCTTCCCTTTACTCCAATTTAGTTTCTCCCTGCCATGTCTCCAATTTGGTGGAACCATGAATGGTGGAGTGGAGACGGAAGGAACTTTCTACATTTTGTACACATTCCTCTTACCTAAAAGTTAAATCAAATTATTTTTTAAAGTTAAATCAAATCAGATTTTTGACATTACAATCATAATGTACTCATATGGTTTATGACAAGTATAAATTGGTAAAAAAAAATTCAAAGATCAAAAACTAGGTGACTTATCGTCACCTTAATATCATGGTTATAAGGGGTGTTACTTAAATTTGTCATTATTTTAACATTTCTCTGCATCTAAATTATATCATATAATTATAATGTTTTCGAGGCAAATTAACATAAAACCCATGAAAATGTGTTAAATGTATATATTAAATTTCATTAATAGGGATGACAGAATCAAATGTTAATTGAAGATAAGTTGCTGGGGGTGTTTATGAATTTTACATTGTGTATACTTTCTTTTTACATAAAACTAAACTCAAAATAATGTTTTTTATAATATAATCATTATTTATTCATGTGTTAATGCTTTAGTATAAAACTGGAAAAAAATATTAAAAGTTCAATTGGCAGGTGACTTGATATCGTGAGTGTAAGGAGTGTTCCTTCAATTTATGATTAATTTTAACATTTTTGAATCTCAAATTTGTATGATAAATTGCATACCTTCATTGGATTTCAATACTAAACACATGGAAAAGTTTAAAATTTATACAGAGAGTTTAGTTAAAAGACACAACATAATCATATGCTACTTGATGTTAAGTGGATGTGGGTGTTCGTGAATTCTACACTGTGTATATATTCCTCTTAGCCAAAACTTAAATCAAAGTCATCTTTTTTTTTAATCATTATTATAATTTATTCCTATGGTGTGCATTACTTAAAAATGAAAAATAAAAATTTGAAAGTTCAATTAATGAGTGTTTTACATATTGAGTAACATTGTAGTCTGTAGATATAAGGGGTGTTCTTTTAATTTGTCATTCCTTTAATACTTTTCTAGCTCAAATTCATATATTGCATGCTTTCATTAAAATTCAACGCTAAACCCTTGAAAAAGTTTAAAAATTAAATA